GACAAACGCCAGGCCCTTACCGCATGCCCTCCGCGTACACCGTGCCCTCTCGTCGACGCACACGCAGGTGTTGCATTCCACGAGCCACTTCGAGCCGTTTTCGCACTGCTTCTCCATCGGGTCCTGAACGTAATCTGAGGGTAATTTAAGAAAGAAAACAATATGAATAATAATGAAAACGTATGAGCCATATCTAAAGATGTTTTAAGTAATTATTGGTTGATTTTCTTTGTGCATATATATACATATATACATATATACATACATACATACATACATACATGCATATATATATATATATATATATATATATATATATATATATATATATATATATATATTTATATATATATATATATATATATATATATATATAAATATATATATGTATATATATGTATATATATATCTGTATATATATATGTATATACATATACACATATATATATGTATATATGTTTATGCATATATATATGTATATATATACATATAATACATATAATACATACATACATTACATACATACATACATACATACAATACATACATACAATACATGCATACAGTACATACATACAATACATACATACATACATACATACATACAGTACATACATACATACATAAAATACATATATACATACATACAAACATACATACAACACATACATACAATACATACATACAATACATACATACATACATACATACATACATACATACATACATACATACAATACATATCAAGGCACTGTCTCCAAGACGACGAAATCTGGAAATGGAAAGAAAGACACAGTAGGCTTTACCGTCCAGACACGCCTTCAGATTGCAAACTGCATTGCCGTCCCGGGTGCAAGTACACCAGTTGCAATCGGTCTTCCAGGCGGATCCTCGAGTGCAGACTCCCCCGGGTGGTATGCCATCATCTGCGGGAGATAAGGAGGGGGGGGGATGCTCTGAATGTGTTTTTTTTTTTCAGTTACCTTTACTTTGGATTCACGACATAGTAGTCATGTGTGTGTGTGTGTGTGTGTGTGTGTGTGTGTGTGTGTGTGTGTGTGTGTGTGTGTGTGTGTGTGTGTGTGTGTGTGTGTGTGGTGTACATATATATATATATATATATATATATATATATATATATATATATATATATATATGATATGTGTATGTGTATGTGTGTGTATATATATATATATATATATATATATATATATATATATATACATATATGTACATATACATATATATAGATACATATACATACATACATACATAAATACACACACACACACACACACACACACACACACACACACACACACACACACACACACACACACACACACACACACACACACACACACATTGACTGGCATTCAATCTTACCTGAGTTTGCTCTCGCCAACGGCTGATGGTTGTCTGTGAAGAAAAAAACATATATTATTAGATAAATTTCTGAATTCACATATTATAATGCAATTTATACAGTTCATACAGCATTTGGCAGTATGTGAAAGAAAGAAAAAAAGAAAAAAAAAGAAAAAAAGAAAAGACGGATACCAGGGAAAAGAACAAACAAAACAGACATGAACTAAAGAACAAACAAAACAGACAAATACACTTTTAATCAACATTCAAACCAAGAACTCACCACAAGGTCTGCTGCTGCACGCGGGTGAGCCTCTGATGCACTTGCACCAGTTGCAGTCGTCAATTTTCCATCTCGAGCCTTCGTCACAAACAGATTCATCGGCGCTCTGCTGGAAATCTGAGTGGAATAATAAAAATTGATCTTCATCAAGTATGTTCATTTTAATAATCATGTTTATTGCTATTTTGTGAGTTGATTATGATGTTCACTGTTGGCTGCAATAGTTATATGGTCTATTTTAAGCGTTAATTATTATGTTCACTGTAATAATTGTATCATTGCTATTTTAATTGATACTGACAAATCACCATAATGGTGATTATCCATGTCAAAATTACCACACACACACACACACACACACACACACACACACACACACACACACACACACACACACACACACACACACACACACACACACGCCCATGCCCACGCACACGCGCACGTACACATACACACACATAAACACACGCCCACGCCCTCACACACACACACACACACAACCCCTTTCCCACTCCCTCCCTTTTACAACCACCCTTCCATCCACCCCTACCCTTCCCTTCAACCCCACCCACTCCCACCCACCCTTAAAATCAACCATCAAACCAACACACGCATAACAATAACACAATCAATAACAACCACACACACAAAAAAACTAACAATGATAACTACCAACCCAACGAGAACCTAACCACCACTTAACGACTTACCACCAACACAAGCCATCAGAGTGCAAGCTGCAATGCCGGTGTCTGAACAGCTGCACGTATTGCATTCAACCTTCCAGCGTGATCCAGGGGCACAGGTGAAGTGGGGGGGGAGAGTCACACCTCGTTTGCGCGCCGCCTGTGGGGTAAAGTGTGAGGGATAAAATTGTGGGTGTAAACATGTGATGGATAATTGCGGTAGTGATGTAAATTGTGGTAAAGTTTGGAATTAAATTGTGGGTAAAGTGGATGGGATTAATTGTGGGTGTAAAGTGGATGGAGTAATGTGGGTTGGTAAGTTAATGGATTAATTGTGGGTAAAGTGATGGATACTTGTGTGTAAGTGATGGATTAATTGTGGGTAAGTGATGGATTAATTGTGGGTAAGTGATGGATTAATTGTGGTAAAGTGATGGATAAATTGTGGGTAAAGTGATGGATTAATTGTGGTAAAGTGATGGATTAATTGTGGGTAAGTGATGGATTAATTGTGGGTAAAGTGATGGATAAATTGTGGGTAAAGTGATGGATAAATTGTGGGTAAAGTGATGGATTAATTGTGGGTAAGTGATGGATTAATTGTGGGTAAGTGATGGATTAATTGTGGGTAAGTGATGGATTAATTGTGGGTAAGTGATGGATTAATTGTGGGTAAGTGATGGATTAATTGTGGGTAAGTGATGGATTAATTGTGGGTAAGTGATGGATTAATTGTGGGTAAGTGATGGATTAATTGTGGGTAAGTGATGGATTAATTGTGGGTAAGTGATGGATTAATTGTGGGTAAGTGATGGATTAATTGTGGGTAAGTGATGGATTAATTGTGGGTAAGTGATGGATTAATTGTGGGTAAGTGATGGATTAATTGTGGGTAAGTGATGGATTAATTGTGGGTAAAGTGATGATTAATTGTGGTAAAGTGATGGATTAATTGTGGGTAAGTGATGGATTAATTGTGGGTAAGTGATGGATTAATTGTGGGTAAGTGATGGATTAATTGTGGTAAAGTGATGGATTAATTGTGGGTAAAGTGATGGATTAATTGTGGGTAAAGTGATGGATTAATTGTGGTAAAGTGATGGATTAATTGTGGTAAAGTGATGGATTAATTGTGGTAAAGTGATGGATAAATTGTGGGTAAAGTGATGGATAAATTGTGGGTAAAGTGATGGATAAATTGTGGGTAAAGTGATGGATAAATTGTGGGTAAAGTGATGGATAAATTGTGGGTAAAGTGATGGATAAATTGTGGGTAAAGTGATGGATTAATTGTGGTAAAGTGATGGATAAATTGTGGGTAAAGTGATGGATTAATTGTGGTAAAGTGATGGATAAATTGTGGGTAAAGTGATGGATAAATTGTGGGTAAAGTGATGATTAATTGTGGGTAAGTGATGGATTAATTGTGGTAAAGTGATGGATTAATTGTGGGTAAGTGATGGATTAATTGTGGTAAAGTGATGGATTAATTGTGGTAAAGTGATGGATTAATTGTGGTAAAGTGATGGATTAATTGTGGTAAAGTGATGGATTAATTGTGGGTAAGTGATGGATTAATTGTGGGTAAGTGATGGATTAATTGTGGGTAAGTGATGGATTAATTGTGGGTAAGTGATGGATTAATTGTGGGTAAGTGATGGATTAATTGTGGGTAAAGTGATGATTAATTGTGGTAAAGTGATGGATTAATTGTGGGTAAAGTGATGGATTAATTGTGGGTAAGTGATGGATTAATTGTGGGTAAGTGATGGATTAATTGTGGGTAAGTGATGGATTAATTGTGGGTAAGTGATGGATTAATTGTGGTAAAGTGATGGATTAATTGTGGTAAAGTGATGGATTAATTGTGGTAAAGTGATGGATTAATTGTGGTAAAGTGATGGATTAATTGTGGTAAAGTGATGGATTAATTGTGGGTAAGTGATGGATTAATTGTGGTAAAGTGATGGATTAATTGTGGTAAAGTGATGGATTAATTGTGGTAAAGTGATGGATTAATTGTGGGTAAAGTGATGGATAAATTGTGGGCAAAGTGATGGATAAATTGTGGGTAAAGTGATGGATTAATTGTGGGTAAAGTGATGGATAAATTGTGGGTAAAGTGATGGATTAATTGTGGTAAAGTGATGGATAAATTGTGGGTAAAGTGATGGATAAATTGTGGGTAAAGTGATGGATAAATTGTGGGTAAAGTGATGGATAAATTGTGGGTAAAGTGATGATTAATTGTGGGTAAAGTGATGATTAATTGTGGTAAAGTGATGGATAAATTGTGGGTAAAGTGATGATTAATTGTGGTAAAGTGATGGATTAATTGTGGTAAAGTGATGGATAAATTGTGGGTAAAGTGATGGATAAATTGTGGGTAAAGTGATGGATTAATTGCGGGTAAAGTGATGGATAAATTGTGGGTAAAGTGATGGATTAATTGTGGGTAAAGTGATGGATTAATTGTGGGTAAAGTGATGGATTAATTGTGGTAAAGTGATGGATAAATTGTGGGTAAAGTGATGATTAATTGTGGTAAAGTGATGGATTAATTGTGGGTAAAGTGATGATTAATTGTGGGTAAAGTGATGGATTAATTGTGGTAAAGTGATGGATTAATTGTGGGTAAGTGATGGATTAATTGTGGTAAAGTGATGGATTAATTGTGGTAAAGTGATGGATTAATTGTGGGTAAGTGATGGATTAATTGTGGGTAAAGTGATGGATTAATTGTGGTAAAGTGATGGATAAATTGTGGGTAAAGTGATGGATAAATTGTGGGTAAAGTGATGGATTAATTGTGGTAAAGTGATGGATAAATTGTGGGTAAAGTGATGGATAAATTGTGGGTAAAGTGATGGATTAATTGTGGTAAAGTGATGGATTAATTGTGGGTAAGTGATGGATTAATTGTGGTAAAGTGATGGATTAATTGTGGTAAAGTGATGGATAAATTGTGGGTAAAGTGATGGATTAATTGTGGTAAAGTGATGGATTAATTGTGGTAAAGTGATGGATTAATTGTGGTAAAGTGATGGATAAATTGTGGGTAAAGTGATGGATTAATTGTGGGTAAGTGATGGATTAATTGTGGTAAAGTGATGGATTAATTGTGGGTAAGTGATGGATTAATTGTGGTAAAGTGATGGATTAATTGTGGTAAAGTGATGGATTAATTGTGGTAAAGTGATGGATAAATTGTGGGTAAAGTGATGGATTAATTGTGGTAAAGTGATGGATTAATTGTGGTAAAGTGATGGATTAATTGTGGGTAAAGTGATGGATAAATTGTGGGTAAAGTGATGGATTAATTGTGGTAAAGTGATGGATTAATTGTGGTAAAGTGATGGATAAATTGTGGGTAAAGTGATGGATTAATTGTGGGTAAGTGATGGATTAATTGTGGGTAAGTGATGGATTAATTGTGGGTAAGTGATGGATTAATTGTGGGTAAAGTGATGATTAATTGTGGGTAAAGTGATGGATTAATTGTGGTAAAGTGATGGATTAATTGTGGTAAAGTGATGGATAAATTGTGGGTAAAGTGATGGATTAATTGTGGTAAAGTGATGGATTAATTGTGGGTAAGTGATGGATTAATTGTGGTAAAGTGATGGATAAATTGTGGGTAAAGTGATGGATAAATTGTGGGTAAAGTGATGGATTAATTGTGGTAAAGTGATGGATAAATTGTGGGTAAAGTGATGGATAAATTGTGGGTAAAGTGATGGATTAATTGTGGTAAAGTGATGGATTAATTGTGGTAAAGTGATGGATTAATTGTGGGTAAGTGATGGATTAATTGTGGTAAAGTGATGGATTAATTGTGGGTAAGTGATGGATTAATTGTGGGTAAGTGATGGATTAATTGTGGGTAAGTGATGGATTAATTGTGGTAAAGTGATGGATTAATTGTGGTAAAGTGATGGATTAATTGTGGGTAAGTGATGGATTAATTGTGGTAAAGTGATGGATTAATTGTGGGTAAGTGATGGATTAATTGTGGTAAAGTGATGGATTAATTGTGGGTAAGTGATGGATTAATTGTGGTAAAGTGATGGATTAATTGTGGTAAAGTGATGGATTAATTGTGGGTAAGTGATGGATTAATTGTGGGTAAGTGATGGATTAATTGTGGGTAAGTGATGGATTAATTGTGGGTAAGTGATGGATTAATTGTGGTAAAGTGATGGATTAATTGTGGGTAAGTGATGGATTAATTGTGGTAAAGTGATGGATTAATTGTGGTAAAGTGATGGATTAATTGTGGTAAAGTGATGGATTAATTGTGGTAAAGTGATGGATTAATTGTGGTAAAGTGATGGATTAATTGTGGTAAAGTGATGGATTAATTGTGGTAAAGTGATGGATTAATTGTGGGTAAGTGATGGATTAATTGTGGTAAAGTGATGGATTAATTGTGGTAAAGTGATGGATTAATTGTGGGTAAGTGATGGATTAATTGTGGGTAAGTGATGGATTAATTGTGGGTAAGTGATGGATTAATTGTGGGTAAGTGATGGATTAATTGTGGTAAAGTGATGGATTAATTGTGGTAAAGTGATGGATTAATTGTGGGTAAGTGATGGATTAATTGTGGTAAAGTGATGGATAAATTGTGGGTAAAGTGATGGATAAATTGTGGGTAAAGTGATGGATTAATTGTGGTAAAGTGATGGATTAATTGTGGTAAAGTGATGGATAAATTGTGGGTAAAGTGATGATTAATTGTGGTAAAGTGATGGATTAATTGTGGTAAAGTGATGGATTAATTGTGGTAAAGTGATGGATTAATTGTGGGTAAGTGATGGATTAATTGTGGTAAAGTGATGGATTAATTGTGGTAAAGTGATGGATTAATTGTGGTAAAGTGATGGATTAATTGTGGTAAAGTGATGGATAAATTGTGGGTAAAGTGATGGATTAATTGTGGTAAAGTGATGGATTAATTGTGGTAAAGTGATGGATAAATTGTGGGTAAAGTGATGGATTAATTGTGGTAAAGTGATGGATTAATTGTGGTAAAGTGATGGATAAATTGTGGGTAAAGTGATGGATAAATTGTGGGTAAAGTGATGGATAAATTGTGGGTAAAGTGATGATTAATTGTGGGTAAAGTGATGGATAAATTGTGGGTAAAGTGATGGATAA